GTTGCCTCGGGTGTACACAGTTGGCTCTTTGCATCTCTTAGTTCCACATCTGTGATTTCACCACCCACAGATCTAAAATGTTTGGAGGGGACAACTGCATCTCTACTGAACATATACAGATGTTTTCCCTTGCCATTATTCTCTAAACAACACAGTATGAAAACCACCTGCATAGCATTTACATTGTACTCAGGGATGGTTAAAGCATACAGAGCATTGCATAGCTTACATGTAAACACCATGTCATTTTACACAAGCACTGATCATCTGAGGATTTCTGGCAGACAAGGGCAACCACGCTACCCATCCCCCGAGGAGGCTGAGGGATGTCTGTGTGGGGAATCAGATGTCTTCTCAAATCCTCTCATCCTTGTTATTACCAGCCCTTGGAAAAGGAAGCTTCTTTGCATTTGACTTCCAAGTCAGACCTTTAGACCAGTGGGTGTCCCCCGTGTCTGGAGCTGGAACCAAGCTAACCCTGTGCCCCCAAACTCTTGTAAAAGTCCATCTAATATATGAATGGTCACAAAGGGCTCCCTCTCTATTTCCCTTCCTCCCCAAACATTTTTTATCTATTGGAAGCCGGCTCAAGATCGGGGCAGGATCAGGAGGCATTTTGCCTGCCTCCTGCACACTTCCTGACTTTCCTCCCTTGGTGCCCCAATTTACCCTGCCAAAATAGCCCGGAGTGCAAGGAAATGTTCCCTGTCCTCTGTTTATTGTAGAACTAGTTGATACGGTCCTAGGAACAGCATGCCTGCATGGCCCTGTTCCCACCGCCTTATCAGTCAGCTAGTCTCAGAATGTATTAGAACAACAAATCACCAAGGACACTCTGCCCCACCTCCTTGTTTGTACTTTCCTTCCTCCTGCCTTAAAGTAAAACGCAGGCTGCTGTGTTCTTTTCCATTCAGCAGGCAGAGAGGCCCCACCCAGTCCCGCTTTAATTCTCCTTTGTTTTCTTCATCTTCCATCGCCCTACTCAGGCCCTGGACCCTTCCCTCGCAGTCCGTGGCATCTGTTTATGCAGTGTTTCGTTTTGTTGGGGTTTGTGTGTTTGTGTGTGTGTGTGTGTGTGTGTGCGCACGTGTGTGCGCTGGGGATCGAATTCAGGCCCTTGCACTTGCGAGGCAGCCAGTGGCACCACTGAGCTAAATCTCTGGCCCTGTCTACTTAGTTTTGATCCCCACATGGAGGTTACAAGTAGATACAAAATATCTAGCCAGGACCAGTGTTGCCCGCCTTAGATTCAGCTACTCAGGAGGCTGAGGCAGGAGGATCATTTGAGCTTAGGAGTTCAAGACCAGCTAGGTCAACATAGTGAGACCATGTTTCAAAAAAAGGGTGGTGGGGAGCTGGGGATTTGGCTCAGTAGTCACCTGCCTCGCAACTCAAGGGCCCAAGTTTGATCCCCGTTACCAAAAAAAAAAAAAAAAAATAGCCTACTTAACCTAAGATTTCAGGCTGCTTTGGTGAAACCAGGTTGATTTCTAGGGTTTGTTTCTGGGAGAAATCAGAGGATTTCCCAGCCAGTGTCCTACCCGTCCCCAGTCTCCAAACTCTCCTGGGCCTTAGTCTATTTTGTTTCAAAGGCCTTTCCTCAGTCACTCATTCTCAACTCGTTCTCTGTTTCCCAGGACCCACTGTATGATCTCTAGCAGACATGAGGCACTGAATAGTTTTTGCTAGATACTTGTCTGCAGCCAGGGTTTTCTTGGCCAAAGAGAAGGGTTTATCAACCCTGGAAGGCAAACATAATCAATGCTTTCTCTTAGCAAGAATCTAGGCAAGAGGGTGAAGCTATGAAGGCGGGTTTTTTTTTTTTTGTATCAGACATATTCTAAGAATTCCACAATATCTCTATACTCATGCCCTGGCTAGTCAGGAAATCCAGTGATGAATTAATTGATGGTGAGCTCCTGATCCTTGCTGCAAATTGGCTTTTATTTTTTCATTTTTTTTTTCACTGTGGGTTTTTTGTTTTGTTCTGATTTGTTTTGTTTTGCTGGGGATTGAACTCAGGACTTAGAGTTTATAAGGCAGGCACAGTGCCACTGAGCTAAATTCTGGATTTGGGTTTCGCTCTCTTTTGCTGTGTTTTTGTTTCATTTTTGAGTCAGTCTATTTAGTAGCCCCATCTGGCTTTAAACTCATGATCCTCCTGCCTTAGTCTCCCAAGTTCTGGGGTTACAGGTGTGTGTCACCATACCTGGCTCCATTGTGGTAAATTTTTATAGCATAAAATTTACCACCTTAACCATTATTAAGTGCATAGTTAGAGGTATTGGGTACATTCACACTGTTATGTAACATCAGCCCCCTCTATCTCTACAACACCTTCTGTCTTGCAAAATACAAATTCTATACTCCCCACCCTCCTTCCCCTTATACCTTAGCACCACAATTCCAAGCCTTTTGCCAACATACTTGACTGCAGTCATACATCTTGATAAAAAGAGTACATTAGTTTGTCTCTCCAGTGATCGATTCAGTTTTATTACAAGATTGAACTAGGGCTCAGAAAGCCTTGGTCTCCTACACAACCATAAAGACTCACTCATTCTTTGCATCCTCAAATCCATATTAAGATCTCTAACTGACACGTGGCACCGCAGAGTATCTGCTAGGCTCCCAGCCTTTTCCCCAACAGACAGAGCAGGAAGGAGGTAGGACAGGATGAGACCAGAGTCAGCTGGAAAGAGATGACAGATAGGAAGTGCCTGACAAGCAGAAGCTCAAGAAGGAGGGAAGGCTTCCCTGTAAACATGCTTTCCCACTCACTGCTGTGGCCCATGAAAGAGTCAGAGCCCATGCAAGAGGAAGAGATTTTTGTGATTTGTACATAGCAGGATCTCAACAAACACTTGCTGAATGGACTTCATCCATAAAATACATCCTAACTTAGCATGGATCAAACTTTAAGGCTCAGTACCCTCACCTTGATGCTCAATGGTTTTTGAGTATGATTATAAATTTGGGGGAATCAGATCATGCATTTTATCCTTGAAGAATATTCTAATAGCTACTCTAGTTACTGAGCATTTACCATGAGCCCAGCTCTTTGCTAAGCAAAAGTTGTTACCTTATTTGAGAACCCCAACACTGGGTACTCTGTATTGCTACAAAGGAATGGCTTAGGGGTGGTGCCTGACTGGGAGGAGGTTGCAGGATGGCTCTTCTTTTTTGTGTGTGTTTTTCTTCTTGTTTTTTGAGACAGAGTCTCACTATGTAGTTCCGGCTGGCCTTGAACTCATTATGTAGTCCAGGCTGGCCTCAAACTTGCAGTGATCCTCCTGCCTCAGCCTTTCAAGCACTGGGATTACAGGCAAGACAAAATGGCTTTTATTGAAGCCCATTTGCATGGGTACTTTTACATAAGATTGAGGAACTATCAATTATCTACATCGAAGAATGGAGGTTTGCTAGAGTGTGTGTGTGTATGTGTGTGTGTGTGTGTGTGTGTGTGTGTGTGTGTGTGTAAGATCCTCCCACTATCCCTTGGTGCTTCTATGGAGCAGAATTTATTATTATTATTTCATTCCTATTGCACAGATGGAGAAGCCAAGACTTTAAGCAACAGTTGGAGAAGTTGCTTGAAGCCACAGAGCTGAAAATATAACACTGCCTGGGACACAGCTCTTGTGCTTGGCCTCCACACCAGAGTGGTTTGGTCATAGGCAAAGGAGTAAAACAAATGTACAGAGCTCATTTGAAAAAGGGGGTGTTGCTGTTGATGTTTTTTAGGTTGGAGTCAGGAGAAAGTGTAAACTTTTTAAAAGAAGTGAAATGAATAGTACTGATCAGCTTCTAGAGAAACCTTTATAGAAAATAAAGCTCTGGTGCAGCAGTCTCAACCTTTTTGGCACCAGAAACCGATTTCATGGAAGACACTTTCTCCATGGGACAAAGTGTGCATGTGGCAGGGTTCAGGCTGACTCAGAGGAAAGTGCAGTGGCATTCCCTCGCAAGCTCTACACACAGTTGTGTCTGCGCCCCTCTGGGAATCTAACTCTGCCCTGATCCGACAGGAGGCAGAGCTCGGGAGAGAGCTGTGAATACAGATAAAGCTGCCTGCCCTGTCCACCACTCACCTCTACAGTGAGCCTCAGTTCCCCAGGCCTGGGGACCCCTGCTCTAGTGCACAGAGAGTCCCACTTGTCAAGTCTGCTCTGCTGTGGAGACATCAGATTCCTGCCAGTTGCAGCAAAGGTTCCAGTCTATGTCAAAAAGGGACATAGAGGGAGATATTCCAGGGAAAAGATGGTCTCCAACACAGGGTAATGTCCACTGTCATCTGAGAAGAGATGCTGGACAAATGACTAAACTGGGCACATTGGCTTTAAGTCCTGGTGCTGTCAGTTTCTAGTTTAGCGACCTTGGACTATCTCTGACCCTTGACTTCTAAAAATAAGCAAAATATTTTCTACCTTATTGGATTATTGAGGGGATTAATGAGGTCATTAATTCAGTCAGTCAGTCAGTCAATGATAACTTGTACAGCAACCATTTGGGCCAGGCCCTAATCTATCACTGACATAATGTATATAGATGGCTCCCACACAGCACATTAATAAATACTCATGGAGGAGTGGCTGGTATTACATATTCCTTATGAAAAGAAAAGGAATATAGACAAATATAATAAAACTGCTTTCTATTCCATGACTGGTGACTGCTTAGTTTGAGGTCAAATACATTCTAAAAAGCTAAGGTACAGCAAAATAAAATTTAAACACATATTTTGAGTACTAAAGGAGATGATCCCTGACCACACCCTGGCCAGGAGGAGAGAGTAGAAAAGAAAAAGGGATCTGTCTGTTTCTTCGCTACTTCCTGTCCTCTGCACGGTCACAGCCAACCCAACACTTCTCTTTGTTCAGTGTCTGACACAGTAACCGGGGCGCTGGCTACATGGCCAGTCTGTGCCATGAGGCAGAGGTGGGAAGAAAGCGGAAGGGGAGTTCATGATCGTAGCACCCCCCACACCCCCACAAACACACCTGGTCGGGCTGGTTCAGCTCCTGCAGGTGCAGGTCTTGGATGAGGTACTCCACGATGCGCACGCTGTTGCTCTGGGCTGCGAAGTGCAGTGCGTTTAGTCCATCCTGAAGAAGCCGAGGAGGAGAGGGAGGAAACCTTGCACTGTGGCTCGCACCTCCCTCCTGGTGAAAGCTCGCGTCCAGATGTGACCACGCAGTGCCTACCTGACACGTAGCTCTCTGGTCTGCTCCAGCTTTCACCAGCATGAGCGTGATCTCAAAGCTTCCTGACCAGGCTGCAAGGTGAATCGCTGTCAAACCGTGCTTTCCCAAAAGAGAGAAGAGGAGAATCTATAATAGGGATGAGCCACAGCATCCTATCTCAGTCAGCAAAGGCTTACTAAAACCAGGCTATTGAAAATTAAGAAACAGACAAATTTTAAAAAGCAAAAATAACCAATTATGGCCAGGATACACATGGTATGGTAAAGCAGACCCACAAGCTCAGCACACTGGGGAACTGAGGCAGGAGGATCACAAGTTGAAGCATAGCTAGGGCAGAATAAAAACCAAAAGGGCTGGAGATCTAAACAGTTCAAGGCCCCTGGGCTCAATTCCTAGTACTGCAAATAAATGGATAGATAGTGTTATCTCAATTCTGTAAGTATATTTAATAAGTAGTACATGCATAAGTGGTTCTCCATCTGAAGAAAATACAATAAAATGCTATATTTACTAAATTTAAAAAGCACACAAATGATAAATCAGGACAAAATCTAGACATAATGTAGACTCTCTTAATTTAGAATCATGAAATAAACATAAAAAGTCAATAAACAAATGACTTTTTAAAAATGTCATTAATAAAGATAAGTGGTAATCAACAAAAAGGTAATTAAGCTAATAGAAAGCCTAGACATGGTGGTGCACACCTGTAATCCTAATACTTGGGAGGATGAGGCAGAAGGATTGCCACACATTCAAGGTCACCCTGGCCTATATATAGTGATCTCAAGGTCAGCCTGAACTAAATAGGGAGAAAATAAATAAATATAAATAAATAAACAAACAAACAAATCAAGAGAAATATGCTCTTCTTAAGATACCAGAGGAAATGGAAACCACTATTTTTAAAACAATCTGGAAAATCCTATTTAAATGTAAATACAATCAGCAATCTTACTCCTAAGAATTTATTCCATGAAACTGCTGCATAAACAAAGATATTAACTGTACCACTGAAAACTGGGAGCAAGGTATATGCCTATCAATATGGGAATTCTGAGTAAAATATGAAATAGTTGTATGATATAACCATTAAAAACAGTGAATTAGAGCTCTAAAACTAGACTTGAAAAGGTCTCCATGAGCTTTGCTAAATATGGAAAATCAAATGGAGAGAAAATATATAATCACATTTTTATGAAAGATGCAATAAACAAAACCCCCATATGTATATATGCACTTATTTATATCTATAGTCAGTTGGTAGGTAGATATATTGATATAGATATGCTTATACAAACATAGAGAGAAGAACAGAAATAAACACACAGACGTCTCAGAGTGTTAAGTATGATCACTAGAGAAGGGACACAGAAAAGTAAAGTAGAAAAAAGCAACTTATATAAAAGAATCCCATTGGGAGGGGAGGAGGGGGTGAAGGGAGGGCAGAGGTAAGGGGAAAAAAATGAGAATCAAGACTTGCCATGTAAAGGTACATGATCCCAACAATGAATGTAACTGTACTGTATCCCTAAATGTACCAATAAACTCAATAAAAAAAAAAAAAAAAAGAATCCCATTGGTGTAAAAGCTCCCCAAAAGATTTCATTCAAACAGTTACATAGATATGTGTAAATGTGTGTGCACACATGTATGCATAAAGTACTGTAGTTAGACTGAAAGAGAGATTCAAATCACAGCTTACTGGCCTGAGGCCTGCTGTGGACAGTGGAATGCTGAGTTATATACTGAATTTGCAGGGAGCAAAGCGAACGGAAAAAGCTAGCAGCTGACATTGGCTACTTCAGTAAGGTGGGATTGGAGGAGATAAAATGGACCTGTGCCTTCAGCCCCAGGTTAGTTAACACCACAACTGGCTTGTTTTGAGAAGCAAGACCTAAGTGCTGAGGTCAGAGTGATGCTTACCCAAATTCTATTCCCGCAATTAAAACCTTCTTAACTAGGAGGACAAGGTTATTTGCTAGCTACAAGCCTATATTTTGTCTGTCCTGTTCCTAATTCAAGAATGCTTTGTCTTTTCCTTTACAAGCCTTGCCTGCATCAGTAATGTGTCCATAGCAACTGCACATCTCCTCACATGGTCCCTTTACCCCTGTCTTTACCATCTTTACCATGATGTCTTCAATAAATAGCAGAGGCTTAGACTGGCTAGGGTCTTCACTGGTTGCTCAGCACTCTTTAATTCTGTCTTTGAGTTTTTCTTTTAACCTTGTGCTGAAGCACTGAGCAGGAGATCAGAACCTGCTGAGGGGGCCCTAATAGTCTGATGCAAGCCAGGGCTAAATTTAATACATTGGCAACAAGGCAATCTTTAGATCTGCTGTCTAGAAAAGCAGATGCTATTTAATCTAAACCATAGATACATAGGCAATTGTTGTAGGATTCTCCCCCGACCTCTCATTAAAGATTTTGGGTTATGGTTCTGGCTAAGATGGAGTATGCACATGCCATCTCTCTCAGGACATGCAATTAATGTACATACTTGAATAAGATCCAGCTATCTGAAGGCTCTGAAAAGTAAATGGTAGCAGGTAGATAGGGGAAAACACTAGAATTCAGAGTGTGAATGATTCTGCATAAGTTTCCTGTTTGTTTGGTTGGTTGTTTCTTGCAATCAGACTCAAGGAGGCACTAATCGTGGAACTGGACAGACAGAGAGTTCCAACACAAGCCCTCTCTCTCTGATCTACTGATCCATAGAGAGCTCCTCCAAAACAGAAAGGTGAGAGAAATCTTCTCCTTCCTTTCAACTCCTCTGGTCCTGCCAGCCTTGGGGAGCTGGGGAGCACAGGGGAAGTGATTACAGACAGGAGGGGTCCTGAGAAAGGCAGCCTGTGAAGTTGTGGGTATATGCGTGAATTTACCCCCAAGCTGTACAGGGACCGACTCTTAACATTAGACAAAGGCTTGGAGAAGGGAACCACCCACCATGTAGACCACAGCCCAGGTCTCACTGGTTCCTGGTGCAGATCTGAAGAGGACTGCAAAGGTTTTAAAGAACTGAAGCAGCCCTGAAAAAGCTGCCCATTTATACACAAAATGAATGAATCTCAACATACTAGAATTCAGAACAAACCATTGTCTTCACCTGCTTTGTGAGTGAATACCAGAGACTGGGTAATGTGTAATTACCAGAAATGTATTTCTAGGAGCTAGGGCCTCCAAGATTGAGAGGCCCATCTGGTGAGCGTCTTTTCCCTGCATCCTAACATGATGGAAGGGCGTGACACACATGAGAGGGAAGGAACCTAACTCTGCCTCTTACCAGGAGCACCCCCACCCCAGATAACAGCCTTAATCCATGAGGGAAGGCACAGCCTTACGGCCTACTCATCTCCTGAAGGTCTAGCTCCTGACGCTGTTGCACTGGGATCAACTTCCCAATACATGAGCTTTAGGCACACATTCAGACCATAAGAACCACTGATTCATATGTAAAACATGACTATAAATCTTTTAGGAGAAAAATATGAGAAAACATCACAACCTTTAGTTAGACAAATCATTCATACATATTCATATAATAATATATCAATATTTATTTTTTAAATGGGTGCATTTCACTGCATCAAAATTTAAAACTTTTGCACTGTTAAAAACACTGAAAAGATAAACCACAGATGTGAGAAAATGACAAACCTAGCTAAAGCCTTGTATCCAAAATACATAAAGAACTCACAACACGAAAAGGAACAAGCCAGGTTTTAGAAATCTTCAAAAGTCTGGCTGGGCATGTAGAAAGGGGCAGAGTGCTTGCCTGGCACGTTCATGGGCCTCAGTTTCATCACCAGCATCACAGGGGGAAACGTCTGCTCAGAATTCACCAAAGAAGTGGTAAATAAAACAGTTCATCGACCACTAGAGAAACGCAAGTTAAAATCACAATGAGATGCCTGCACACTTGTCAGAATGGCTAAAATTAAGGGGTAAGAGTGACGATCAATGCCAACTGCTAAGTAGGACACAGCACAGGCAGAGCTCTCCTGTATTATTGGAGAACAGAAACATCACATGCACTCTGAAAGACAGCCTGGCTTCTCCTGGTTAAGTTACATTTACACATACTGTTTAACCCAGTAATCTCACTCTGGTATTTACTTACCCTACAGAAATGAAAGCTTACATTTAAAATTACTTATAAGAGTCAAAAACTGGAAACAACCCTAATGTCCTTCAAATGATGAATGGATAAATGGTACTGCATCCATAACCTGGAATCCTAATTGGTAACAAAAAAGGAAGGTGTTCTTGACACATACAGCAAAATTGGTGAATGCTACAGGATTGTGCTGTGTGCAAGAAGCCAGTCTCAAACTTGCAGGCCATTATCAAGAAGGCAGAAATGACAGAGACCAGTGGCTGCCAGGGTGCAACAGATTTAACTACAAAGAAGCAGATGGGATTTGGGGGGGGGGTAGAGTAACGCTTCTGCTTTCTTTTTCCTTTTTCTTTTACAGTATTGAGGATTAAACTCGGGGCCTCATGCATGCTAAGCACATACTCTACCACTGAGTTACACCCCCAGCTTCTTTGCTCTGCATTTTTGTTGTGGTGGTGGTTACTAAAATCTATATCCATGTTACAACTCACAGAACTGTACACCAAAAAAAGAGAGATGATGGTACAATATCTTAGTTTAAAAATTAAAGTAAAATAAAAATATAATGTATGAAGTTTTCAATGTCAAAACAAGAATATGCTTGGCTAATCTGGTATATTATAAATGGATCACCTCAGGCTAATATGCAAAATAATCAAATTACAATTTCCAGTGGGGACAGTTCCCTTAATTACCATAGTCATTAATACAAGTAATTACACTTGCAGACTTATAGTGCTTTCAGCGGTAATTTTTAATTCTGGTCTTGTTACATAACAATCTACTTGCCTGCCAATAACAGAGCTATAAGCTAGAGAGGGATGTGCCCCACTATGGATACAAGGAAAAACTGCCACCATTGTCAAGGCTACTACATCTTGTCCACACCAGCAAAGCCATGAGGTGGTTAATTGGGGTAAACCAATTTTATCTTAATAGCCCAGATCCTGTGAGACGTGAAGATAAAAATGTGGATCCTTATTCTTCAGGGAATCCTAGTCCAATGAAAAAACAGAATAGCTCCATGAGGATCTTCTGAAGAATTTAAGTTTAAGAACCACAGTCCATGGAATTAATTGAGAACCAATAATTTTTTTTTTTTTTTGGTACTGGGGATCAAACTCGGGACCTTGCACTAGTGAGGCAGGTGGCAAAACCACTGAGCTAAATGCTTGGCCTTGAGAATCAATAATTGTAAAGTAAGAACATCATCTTCTGTGACTGAAAATGGTAAACATGACCTTGGTTCTCCCCAGCTGGTTTCTTTGGTCCATGATAAAGTGTTAAATAAAGAAGGAAAAGTAGATGAAAACTCCTCAAGCTAGGTCTTAATATCTAGGAAAACAAATAATTAAGCTGCTTTGTACTGAAAGCATGATTCCTGGAATCCAGCAAGTTAGGTTTAAACCCTTTCTCCACCCTTTCTTAGGCACAAGTTTTTGGGGCACGATATTTAATCTCTCTGTGTCTGAGTCTCCTCATAGGTAATTCGAATATTATAATAAGAATTTCTTCCTAAGACTGTTTGGGAGGAGGTGCAAATTTCGAAGTAATAATACTTATGTGTGAGGCATAGTATCATTAACTAAGATTTACTTACTCTAAGAGACCACAGAACAAACTCAAGATTTAATGTCCTTTGGGTAAATTAGTTTCTGCCTCCCGTGCACTGGATTATACTCTGAACAATCATGTTATTCATACAAAGGCATGCTACTGGCCATAAGGTCAATATGAGAGGATAAGTAGAAGTGTAAGACCTAGAAGTAATAGTTACACAATTTAGCCACCAGAGCACACAATATGTGTATTCTCTAAAGAGACCTTTCCAGAATGCACACTGCCAGTGGAAATATTTTGTGCGCGTGTAAAGCAAAGCTGTCTGGAGTGATCAGATCTCCTGTGCTCCAACTCATTCCACCATCTGCAGACAAGCTTACCTTATCAGCAACATCCACCCTGGCCTTGTGATTCAGTAAGAAATTCACCGCAGAAAAATGATTTCCCCCCACTGCAAAGTGCAGGGCTGTACGGTTCATCTGAGGAAACATAATGTGGGTCTTTAAGCATCTGGTTATTATTTAGCCTTTTTATGATTCCTGGTTCTTGAACAGCCATAATTTTCTACTGACTGTTTTGATTATTTAGCTCAACTCTTTGCTTGTCCCTTTGAGAGTTGTGAAAACTGGGTCCAGTGGAATCCTATCTTCATCGATGATCAGACACATCTGAGTATTTGACTCTCCAGGCAGGATGTGCCTCAGACTGGAACCCTTGCATAAACCACCAGATAGCAGACATAGAAACCCTGCCGATATACACAGAAATACACACACTTCTGCTAAGCACCCTTCCGCTGCATATCCTATGTGACTTTAGACTGAAGGTTCATTTCAATGACCTGATGGCCCGGAATGGAGAGATGCTTGAAGGAGACTGAGTTTAGACTATTGAAGGAGTCCTCTTTAAGCCAGAATCAGAAGGTAACTTGCTACAGTTAAGTGTCTTAGTTTTTCAGATTTTGTGAAAAGAATGTAAACATGGGGAATTATTACTAGAGCCCATCCAGTACCTTAGAAGGAGTCTGGACAAAGACAGTGGAGCTTCTACCACATTTAGCATTCTATCCACTTCTGTACCACTCCACAAATCTTGAGCAACTGTCATAGCCTCCAACCTGTTCACTTTGATAAACCCTACCTTGAGGGGCTGCCAGGAATTCACAAAAGCAAGAAAGGGAATCCACATTTCTGGAAGTAATTTTTTCCCCCAAAGCCCAGGTACCTGAAGAACAAGTGAGCACAAAGCCATGTTTCAGGAAAGCTCTCGTAGTGCAATGCACCCAACATGTAGATGTTCTATATTTCAAAAGCAGCAAAATGAAAATATGCACTCTTTGGGATTTCAAATTTGAAAAACCCAACCACAAAGGACATAACTAGAGAGAAAATAAATTGTATAAAAAAAATGTTCTCCTTTTCCAGAGTGTCTGAAGCCAAACTCAACCACAGGTTACGATCTAGGACCAAGTCCAGTCCTGTAACCCTGACAACAGCTCTGCAGCTCACCCAGACTTCACACAGATGCACCTAAAGTCTTTGCACCTCTCTTATCATAAAATGAATTAAAACACTCACAGCCTCTTCTGCTGCTCAGCTCCACCTTAGATTAAACACCCTGGAGTAACCAAAATGAAGAGCTCCCTGTCTCAGCCAGCCCAGTCTTTCTGTTAGATTTCCCTTGCCTTAAGATGGCTGCCACATGGAATAGCAGCCTCCATGTTAAAATATGACTTCTCCCAACAAAGGACAGGCTTTTTCTTCCCATCATGCCTCTTCTCCCGCCAAAAGAGTAACCTGATATTTGCTACCTTCTAGCAGCTAGTGATGTCACAAGCCCCTCCTAGGGATGGATGGCACAGGCTCCTCCGGCCCCTTAATACTACCTCACTCAACTACAACCCAGCTCAGGCTAACCCCACCCCACTCCTATAAAAGAAGCTCCTTGTTCTGACTTGTTTCCTCCTTTGTTCGGAGACAACCCAGCAGATCCTCTCCATAACAAAGGCTTGCTATGGTTCTGAACTGGCCCTGGTTTTCAGCTCTTTTTACCTAACACTTTCCAATTTTTATCATTATTTCAGTTGACCTGTGCAAACCCAAGCCACCACCTGGAGTAATCAATTGTCATATTTGTTACTTCTACTCACATTGTTCACAGCATTAATGTTAACCTTCTTTTCAAATAGCTTCTCCATAAAATCCAAATTATTGCTCTTAGCAGCATCCTGAAAGCTTCTCTCATTTGGCAGTACTGGAAGAAAGAAAACAAACGTGACCAAGGGCATTGAAGGAGGCCACAGAGCATGCACAATTCATGTGGCAAACTGTACTTCCAAAAACACAGAATGACAACCTTGGATCCTTCATACTCTGTTATTTAGGACACAGGGATGTGGCCTTAATATTTTATGCAGTTAAAGGGTCGAGAGCCACCTTCTCCTCACACTGCAATTTTTTTTTTTTTTATAAGGGATCAAACTCAGGTCCTTGCACTTGCAACGCAGGCAGCAGAACCACTGAGCTAAGTCCCTGGCCCCCACATTGCAAGTATTTTTATACCCTTAAACATGTGCCTGACTGTAAGCAAAACATTATTCCTGAAGACCACCCTGAAAACATCAACATGGTGTGTGACATACATAGGTCCGAGGGTGGCCTGAGACTTCCTAGAAGACATTATTTGAAAAAAGAGGGCAGGAGATTTAGCTCAGTGGTTCTGCCGTCTGCCTCGAAAGCACAAGGACCCGAGTTCCACTCCCAGTACCAAAAAAAAGAAAAAAGAAAGAGGGTGGGGAGAAGAAAGGAGAAAAATAAAAAGAGGTTTGTACAAGACTAGCCAGGGAGGAGTCCAAGTGCTCATACATCTTAGAGACAAAAGTGGTGTCTGCAGAACCCACAGCAGATGCCAGAATTGTAGCAACGAAACCTAAAAATGGAGCCCAGCATATAAACATGCACAAAAGCTAAAACGGATGAACATATTTTATTCTCATTTTTATGAAAGGACAAATGTAGAGGCGCACTGACTGTAAGCATTTCATAGCTCATGCATACACATTCAGAAAGCAAGTTTTATTAACTTGTAGAGAAGGCTCCAGCGTTTATTGAGGTTTTTGTCTATACAGGAGCTAGAGGGCTCTCAAGGGATAGCCCCAACTCTGGGAGATAAAAGAAAGGACTACAGGAAGGTTTTATAGATGTGCTGCTGAGCAGTTTCTGAAGTTTTGCGGGGGTTCTTTGTTTTGCCAAAGAGCCTTCAGAATACAGAAGTCAAAGATCCAGGGGTATCTTCAGGGAAGAGACTGTTATGAGCTGAACTGTGTCTCTCTAAGACTCACATATTGAAATACTAACCCCTAGGACTTCTGAATGTGATCGAATTTGGTAACAAGGCCTTTAAGGAAGTAAGAAAGGATGCTTGGGGTGCACACCTGTAACCCCAGCACGCTGGAGGCTGAGGCAGGAAGTTTGCCACAAGTTTGAGGCCAGGCCGCACTACACAGTTCAGGGAAAGCCTGAACTACAAAGTGAAAGCCTGTCTCAACTCCCTCCCCACAAAAAATAGGTAAGCTGAGTATAGCGGTGCACATATGTAATCCCAGCTACTCGGGAGGCTGAGGCAGGAGAACTGCAAGAGTGAGGACAGCTGGACATCTTGGCAAATTAGCCCAAATGAAAATAAAATTTTAAAAATGGGTTGGGAATGTAGCTCAGTGTGAAGAACCTGGCTTCAATTTCTAGGACCATGAAACAACACAGAAATTTATTTTCTCATAGATTTGGAGGCTGGAAGTCAAATATCAAGATGAAAGCAGGGTTGATTTTATCTCAGGTCTTCTCCTCATGTCTCTCCTTTTTTGAAACAGAGTCTCACTCTATATAGCGCAGGATAATCTTGAAGGCATGATCCCTTCCCTTGAAGTCCCAAACCCTGCAGTTACAGGCATGCACAACCACACCCAACCCAGGCTCTCTTCTTAACTTATAGAGATGGCCTCTTTCAACATTTTTCCATTTTCCTTCTATGTATGTCAGCATCCTAATCTCCTCTTCCTTGGGGACGTCAATTATACCAGTTTAGATCCTGTCCCCATTGCCTTGTCGTACACTTATTACCTCATATGTATATTGTGTGAGTGTGTGTGTATGTATGTGAGAGTGTGTGTGTGTGTGTGTGTGTGTGTGT